AAGCTGTCCGGGGTTTTAAGTCCGTTTGGACCCAAAGTATGAAGACAGGTGTTTATGCAGAACCGCCTCTGTCAAATCAGACCTGGTGATTGCCCTAAGGTAAAACGTGCAGGGGAAACGCAACAGTCCTTCTAGGGAAAGACATGAAGAAGAAGCAGAAGAAGCGCCAGCAAGCAAGTGCTCTGTGTCCACAGCTCCGTCGTCTGAGCCCTCCAAATCATGCGCCTGTCTGGGTGTCGCAGCAACATCACCTGGATCAGCGGACAAGGCAAGTGTGGACTGCTCCTGCAAGAAGACCGCCATGCGACCCAATGTTGGCGGAACGAGGGCGTGAACTTCTTCACTGGCTGTAGTCTGCAGGAATGACCGACAAGCACCGACGATGCGCCTCAAATTTTCGAGTGATGCCTGGTCCTGCTGCTGAGGTTCATCCATCTGCATCTCAATGGAGGAGATCACAGCCAGGAATCCGTCATCATCCAAGAATGGATCTTGTATCTCGAACAGAGCCGCCTCCCACGCCATGAGCCTGGCTCAGGACACTATGTACACACACACCCCTGCACCAGCAACAAACGTGGCAAGCTGCTAATTCGCCCCAGGTGTTCATGCCTTTTCGCCCCTGCATGAAAACGACAGGAAGTTTCAGCCGAGGGCCACGAAATCTACGTCGTAAACCTGCTATCCAAAGCCCTTTCGCTTTGAAGGCTTCCGCGACAGGAATCCCCAGAGCTGCCCACGAAGCTTTCAGCTTCAAAGAAGCAATGCCTGCGCCAACTCCTGCGCAAATGGCATTGAATATGCTTCCGCACTCTTCGTGCAGAATTTCGACTTGGAAGCCCCGGTGAGATGCACGTGTGCTTCTCCCGAGAAGAAGCATTTGGCCGGAGCCCCCTTCTTCTTGGCACGCTTTGCCTTGCACTTTCTCTGCATGTGGTTCACCTTGCTCTGCTCCACGCACCAAAACCATAATCGAGTCGGCTTTCGCCAGGCTGCTTCATAAGCACACATGTCGAAGATGACCTCAACATGGCATGGAGGTAGCTCTAAGCGAAGGCCATCACGCTCAGCCACCTCGCCCTGCGCGAAGCAAGCAGCTACCAAGCCAGGGAACATGAAAATCATGCTGTCCCGCGGATTCTCCAGCACAACCCGCACCTTATAGAGCTGGCACTGCTGGATGATTCGAACACAAACTTCTGCAGTCGAGTTCCCCACAGAAAGGTGTTGCTTCTCCTGCCGTCAACGAAAAGATCCCTTGAGTTGGGAATAGCAAGTCACATAACAACAGCACTCGAATGCTTAAGTCGCTAGTTTCCTATCGCAACTCTTCGAACACCATGAGTAAAAACGTCAGGTTGATCTCCGCCTTCTCTGTCAAAATGAGGGTGGTAATGCCCAAGATCTCGGCTGTGCTACGTAATCTCCTGGGCCATCCCGAGCCATTGCTCCGACCTCTCCGCGCACGGCTCCAGCTGGCACATGGAGGCGCCAGGCTCACAGCAGCCACCAAACCAGATGCTATCGCTGCCAACAACACAGCCAACACGCTGGAGTCAGTGACATCCCAGCCTGCCGTCACATCTAAAGGGATAGGGAAAAACCCAATGCTGCCAGCAGCTTTGGCCACGTTGCCAACTCCACTGAACACCTCCAGCATGATGAGAAGCCCACTTGAAACAGCAGCATCGATCAATGTCTGGAGATCCGAAGCGGATTTCAAAGCGACTTGCTGCTTGCGGCGCCTTTTCTTTGCACATTGTGGAAGAGGAGCTTGCGCCACCGCCTGCTCCAAGTTCAATGGAGCACTCTCGTCTGCCAGCCCCTCGGCCAGGAGCATTGCAAGCGGCCTCCAAGGACCAAGCCACTCAACGTAGCTCGAGCCTGTGCTTCTCCAACGTGATGCAAGCCAAGGGCGCAAGCCGTTTGATCACTTACGCCTGATTTGCGTAAAACTGATTTGCTGGTCAAAGCCCCACGTGAGCCAAGAGGTGTTTTGCAAATGCTTCCCTGAGTGTAGGTCAGAATCAACAGAACAAAACCCTTGTCACCAAAGTGCGCCCCTGGCCAACATGTTCAGACGAAGTTGCCCAAGCCACGACTCGAATTAACTGGAAAACAGCCTCAGAAAAGGAACAGAGTAGCTGGCAAGTACCACAGGCAGGCTGAAGCGCAAAAAAAGTCAACAGGTTTCAGCTTGCTGCTGCCGGAAATTTGCTGATGGAGCCATCAAGCTGAACGTTTAAACAACACTGAAGGCTCCTTGGTTCCTTGAACACTGTCGAGCCACATTCTCTGCTTGATCGAAACAACAACAACAACAACAACAACAACAACAACAACAACAACAACAACAACAACAAGGCAGCAGCAGGAACAAGCCGGGAAGGCGGGCCCCCGTGGCCTCCGCCTGAGGAAACCACGGGGGAAGCGGGGGCGAGGCGGGCCCCCCAGCAGCGAAGAGCGCGGCCAGGGGGGGGGGGACAACAACAACAACAACAACAACAACAACAACAACAACAACAACAACAACAACAACAACAACAACAACAACAACAACAACAACAACAACAACAACAACAACAACAACAACAACAACAACAACAACAACAACAACAACAACAACAACAACAACAACAACAACAACAACAACAACAACAACAACAACAACAACAACAACAACAACAACAACAACAACAACAACAACAACAACAACAACAACAACAACAACAACAACAACAACAACAACAACAACAACAACAACAACAACAACAACAACAACAACAACAACAACAACAACAACAACAACAACAACAACAACAACAACAACAACAACAACAACAACAACAACAACAACAACAACAACAACAACAACAACAACAACAACAACAACAACAACAGCAGCAACAACAACAACAACAACAACAACAACAACAACAACAACAACAACAACAACAACAACAACAACACACAACAACAACAACAACAACAACAACAACAACAACAACAACAACAACAACAACAACAACAACAACAACAACAACAACAACAAACAACAACAACAACAACAACAACAACAACAACAACAACAACAACAACAACAACAACAACAACAACAACAACAACAACAACAACAACAACAACAACAACAACAACAACAACAACAACAACAACAACAACAACAGCAACAACAACAACAACAACAACAACAACAACAACAACAACAACAACAACAACAACAACAACAACAACAACAACAACAACCACGACACTAACCGCCCCATGTGAGACACACGCACACACACGCGTCACTTACACAATCACACGCCCACATACATAAACACCGTGATCTCCCTCTGTTCCACACACACACACACGCACGCACGCACGCACGCGCACGCACGCACGCACGCACACGCACACGCGAGCACGCACGCACCCACACACACACACAGACACACACACACCCACGCACGCGCGCACGCACACACACACACACACACGGATGGCTCCCATCACGCAGTATCTTCAGGCCCCAGCCACCGCCCCCGCCTGCTCCACGGACACCCGGTTGGGCCAGAGTAAAAAGCCAAATGGCTCAAGTGGCCAGCATCCCGACAGGATGGAAATGACAACTACCCCAGAATTGGTACAGCTCGATGAAATGAAACATTGTTTGCTTTCTAGCAATTGTCAACCGTATTCTGGACCTCAAGTACTCCACGTGGCCAGCGATCAACAACACAAGCATAGCACCACTCAACAGTCTGTATTTTGCAGACCGAATAAGGTCTAAACAAGTACGAGACAGACATAACCTGGGCATTAATTCTTTGGCCTTGTTTCCTTTATGTAAAATGTCAAATCTTGTGACCCTGGTTTTCTGCGAGGATCCACTACGAGCAAGAGGCGCCAGCATGACAGAGCAACAGCTTGCACGGAAAGGTGCAAAGGCTTTACCGCGCAAGCTCAGCATTGACGTGGGCACACGGATTGAACCTGGGCCTGCCGCATGCGAAGCGGGTGTGATACCACTACACCATGTGATCCTGATGTTGCTGCCCGAAGCCGGTGTTAAAGCTTTCACGGCCAGAGAGGGGCAACAGCTCAAGAAAACTTTGCAGACAGCGCACGGGCGCTGCGAGCAACAGGTGCAGGCTTTGCTGCACAGGCTCAGCAGTGACATAGAGGGGGAAAACTTTTGGGGGCCCGAAAAGTTGTTTTCTAAGTTGTTGTTCCAGCCCGCGAGCTTTTTTTGGCTTCGGGGCCCTGAAAAGTGCCTGCAGGTGGCAAAAGGTGCCTCGCAACAAAAAAAATTTCTGGGCTCGAAAAGTTGTTTGTGCTTTCCAAGCCCAAGGCCCAAAGGTGAAAAGGCAAATCCGCAGCAAAACAAGCGGGGCTCAACATGTTGTTTTCCAAGCCCGCGCAACGAACAAGGTGAGGTGCCAAAACAAACCTTTCGGGTCTCGAAAAGTTGTTTTCCAAACGCGAGCTTTTTTGTTCAAGCTGGCCAACGCGCTGTGCGTGGAACATTGCAAAAGGTTTGCACAAGTAACCCAACGGTCAAACAGCAGTTGTCTGAGCCAGAAAAAGTTGTTCACTGAAAGAATCCCTTTCCTTGTTGCTCGAAAGAACCCATTCCAGCAATCTGATCCCATTTTCACGCCTAAAAGCATTACGCGGACCAAAAGCAACTTCTACCAAACAGTCTGAACGAAAAACGGATCTTACGAATCACGCAAAAACGCTTACGACTGCAAGAGTAATTTCCAGTTTCATCTAAATTGATCTACGGAGGTTTTTTTCGCCGCTCACATGGCAGCAACAGCAACGTGACCGGGGATCTGAAGGGTCCCTCGGATGAAACATTTTGGGCACCCAATTGGGTTGATGAGACATCAAAAGCACGTCGGGGTGTGGGGAACCCTGGCAAGAACCTAGACGAGTTCCCTATGTTCAACCAAGCCAACCAAAGATGACACCTATGAACGCAGGAATCGCCTGCTGAAATCGACGCTCCAGGGCGGCATCCTTCTCAATGTACTTGCGGTACCTTTCGGCTCGACGAGTGACTTGTTTCTGTGTCGCAGTGATTTCATTTCTCGGGTTTTGTAGCTAAGGGCTTGTCAGCTTTCAAAACCACAAGAAAAACGAAGGGGTTACCTGCTATACAGCTAACTGGGATCCACTGTTAAATCCACTGGGTGTGTGTGTGTGTGGGTGTGTCTCACACAGGGGGGACACCCCAACACGGGTCGCTTTGCCTTTGGTTTCAAGGAAAGCCATCCAAAAACATGGTCCTCTCAAAAAAACACGGACAACTACCAACATGGGTTGGCTTCCCTTTGGTTTTCCTATCCCCAAACAGGGTACCCTAAACAGCACAAACACTCACTTGCCACCCGGCCCAAGAGCTGGATGATACGCTCGTGGGAAAATAGCAGAATGAATGGGTCAATATTAAGCCACCAGGGGACCGCAGGTTTTCGTCCATGCTGCCATTTACCAGGGTTCCATTTGGGTACCTAATTTTGACCCACAGCCATATGAATCAGATTGAGACCAAGGTTAAAGCTCCATCCCCTATGGCAACCTTGTGCACCCTTTCAGCCAAACTGTGGATCCTTTCCAGATTCTTGTCATTCCTGGAATTACCTGTCATGTATTGGATCAGGAATAACTTTCCTATCTGTTTCTTTTCTTTTGTTTGTCTTATTTCTCTTTCTTTATTCCTCTTTTCATTTTATTATAATTCTAGAAATATTTGAACAGAAAATAGTTGACAGGTAGGAAGCAAAAGAAAAGCATCAATCATATAGTTGTATCTTTCCATTTCTCTTTTATTTTCAAGTATTAATATTGGTTGAGGACGTTTCCTTCCGTCGCTTCTATCGTTTATCCTCATCCATAATAACCGACGGGAAAGGTCCCGAACTAACCTACAAACACAATCCAAATAACCATAATAAAAGCAAATTAAAATAAAAGATAAAGAAAGATGCAAACCAAAGGACTCCGCTGCAGCTGGGACTAGATTTCATGGTCACTTTCCTTACACCTCCAAGCCTCTATTCTATGGCTTGGTGAGGTGATACGAGGTGCAAGGATTTCTGGTAGACGAGAGAGGGTTCACCGGCATCACTTCATTCTAGCCGTCTCACCATAAGATCTTGAAGTAGGAAATAGATGGCTTTTATTAAGATCTTCCTTCTCATCTCCTTTTGAAGCAACCAACAAGGGTACCAACTCAAAAAAAGAGAGAGACTATTTTAGGGAATCAGACATTTTTAGGGTGTTCCATGCCTTTACGACACGCACACACACACACACAAAGACACAGAAGTCTTTTGTCCGAGCCACTCGTCCATGGTGGTGGCCCCAATACAGCGCAGCTCCCCCCGTGCCAGCATGGGCTTCAAGAGGTTTGCTGCGTCCATGGCCTGCGGCTTTTACCATCTTTGAGCCTTCGAGTGGTGGGATGTGGCGGATGGGGGTGGATGGAAATCACGGGACTGTCCGCAGATCTGATCCACTGCGGAAAGGTGAACTTGTGGGTTCAGTTCGGAAACCCAACCACTAAACCCGTCCGGTTTCAGATCGGCTCAAAGATGCTGAGTTGTGGGATAGAAATTCGGAAACCCAACCACTAGACCAACGAAAAACCGGTTAACTTCTGGGTTCAGTTCGGAAACCCAACCACTGAACCAAGGAAAAACAACTAGAAACCTAATGAACCGGATAGCTGGGCTTGGCCACCAAGGGAAAAAGAAGGCCTCTGGACCGGGCCAACTGGCATGGGAATGTTGGCAAGCGCCCCCCTTAACCGTGGTGGAACGTCGAGTTTTCCAGGACGTTTTGTGACCAGGCAATTCCCAGAGGATCTCTAACCGCGTATAGTGGGCAAGCAGCCATGTTCCTCTCTGGTATGTGGGTGCCAAAAATATACAAGGTCAACCTGTTCCGCCATGACAACAACAAAAAACATGGAAGCCAAAAGGTCGATCCGCTTTGCGCAAGTTAAACATAAGCGAGAAACCGCCGAAACCCGTACACTTGTCTGTGACACTGAAGTGGAAATTCCCATCCCCTTATCACTTCCTGGATGCATCTACCTGTGTGGTAGGTCTTCCGGGCAACTGAGAACGCAAAGCACCGGTTTTCCGGAAGATGTCCTGTGGATTTTCCTACCAAGGCCTTTGACTCAGATCCAAGGGGCAGGGAGTCATAGGGTCCAAAGGGCTCCTAAGGCTCAGAGTTCTGCCCAAATCATGGCGCCGAAGGGTGGAACTTGCGGTAAAGAACCTAGTAGGTGAGGGCCCCCAACCCAATTCGACTCTCCCCCAGATTGAGGACTATACCATCTAGGTCTGGTCATGTCGAAGAGTTGACTGGCTGAGTTGACTGGCTGAAAACAAGCGACTCTTTGGCCCTAGACTAAGATTCGAAACTTCGCCCAACTGGCAAATGGGTGTGTCTTTTCTCTAGGGTACTTTTTGTGGACTGAAAAGGAAAACCAAAAGGAAGACCACCATCTGTGTTTTTTTCGTTGGGGGGGGCCCTAAAAAAATATGTCACCCCAACTTTGGTCTGTGAAGCGACCTCCTATTGCCAGCCATTGGGGGGGCTGCTGGCAACACGCATCGCTCAGAGGGCTCCCGAAACTCGCTGCCAAGGTGCCCCGTCGGTCTTGCCAGCACCGATCAGCAAGTGCGCCTCGAAATTCCAGTCGACAGGGAGAAGAACTTCATGGAATTTCGCTTCTTGATCAGGGTCAATTCGACTTTAGGCTCTTGATCAGGGAAAACATGGGAAAACCCAACTAGAGACTCTGGGCCCCGAATGTGCAGGAGCCCAGAAATCGATTCAGGTTGGGGCCATTCGTATCGTGCGCAGCAATCCGTGGCGGGGAGCCTTTCAAGCGGCCTGGCAGCGAACAGCTACCGCCGAAAGCACAAACTCAAAGGATCCGGTGAGAAGGGATTGGCCTGGTAGCTGAACTAGGGAAATCGATCCCTCCAAAAACCACATGGGCCATTGGGAAATATTAGGGGTGCACAAATCCCAAGGCCAAGGGCCCCTTTTCTGGCATTTTCCTCCTGGAAATGTCCTGGGAAAGTTCCTATGGATACTTTCCGGCGCGTAGAAACTCAACAAAGAATGCGAATCCGCTTTAGCTGTCCAGTTCAACAAACCTCAAATTGCCTGTTCGCTGGTTGGCCACAGCACGCTTGCTCCTGAAGGGTACTCCAGATTAACTTGCAACCCAAAGAATCCCTTCTTGTCTTTGCTTTTTTGGGCCGGGGGGGGGAAGCCTCCTTTTTGCGGTTCGTCCATGAGCAGGCCCGTGTTTTCGCGTTTTTGTGCGCGCGACTCGGGATTGATCAATCCTGAGGTGTGCAACGGGCTTGACGGAAAAACCGAGCTTGACATGCTCAAGAGTTGCAATTCCTTACATGGTACACAAAGACAAAATAAACTTCGTGCAGCACACTCACAGCTCCAGCGCGGAAGCCGCAGCTGTCCAGCACAGGTTCAGTGACGGAAGAGAAGGGGGTCACTGCACACGCGCTCGCGCTGGGTGTGTAACGAAGTATGAAACGGCTAACGAGGTATGCAACCAGGTTGAATTGTTCTGGCCCCATCTTGCTTCCTGCTCCGGCGAGAAGAGGGAGAGCTGCACGGGCATGCACGTCGAAATAATTTGCAAAAGCCTGCACCTATGGGAAACTTTTGGGTGCAACCAACCAGGCAGTTTCGTTACGTATCGGGGTAACGAGGGGGCATGGAGGGAGCCGGACGGCCTTGCTACATAGGCTATGTAACGGGGTATAATGATCTTGCATTTGCTTAAGAGCCCTGGCAGAAATAAACATATTTCCAGTAGTGATAGATTCCCTTTCGCCGGACTTGTTGTGGTCTCCACGGGACGGCGTGAGCAGTTCCAGTGGTGGCCCGGCCAGATCTTATACTGTCCGAGTAGCATCGCGCTACTCCATACAGTCGCCTACCAGATTCCCTTTTGAAAACCAAAAGGGAAAATGACACATCTCACTTAAGCAAATGGAAGTCAATGTCCGCTGCGGCTTGTCACGTACCCCAACCCAAAATTCGGTTCAGCCGACGCGCTCCCTCCGCGCTCCCGCCGCGCAACGCGCGTCGCCGCCTCGTCGATGAAGAGCACGACACGGCCCTCGGCATCTTTGACCTCCTGAAGCACTGCCTGAAAGCTTCGGGATTCGGAACTTCGAAGGAATCGTACCATCCGATTGATGGACTTTGGATGGAATTCAGCCTAGGTCCTCCAGTAGAGAGGTTAGACATATGACATAAGGGTGCCAACTTTTTTTCTGTAGTCTATTTTAGTAGGGTCCCGAACCCTCCCAATCAAACAAGAGGTGAGAAGGGCACTGTCAGCTGAAACTGCGGACTCCAGTAGGCAACTCGGGGAGTCCCAACAGTTCCAAGCCCTGGAGGGTGCGACCGCCAGGAGCGGGGTGCGTGGGTCCGATCCAGGAGCCTTTTTTGACAAAGTAGGGATGCGGGCAAGGTCAAGCACGCATGGCCCACGGGGCTTCCAACTCTCCTGATTTCACTACAGCCCCTGGCCCCTTGGACCCTAAATCCAGGCTGGACTGGTGGGTTACTTGGTCCTTTGGGATGGCTGGGAACCTCATCGGACAGAGAATCAGGTCTTGAGTCTCGGACCCCAACTTGGATGATCGATTCGCCAAGTTAAGTGGCTAGCCACCTGGTGATGTTTGCTTTTTGTCCTCCCCTGTTTTTGTCGCTGTTTCTGTGTTGTCTGGGCTTTCCAGAATTGATTTGTTTGTGACAGTTCCACACGTTTTTGGGGGTCAGCCTTACAAAATGCGAGACTGCTCAGTAATATTGAAGTAGAGTATTCAGATGATTGACACCAAAGTGGATGCAGTATTGTTCAAGCAGTGTTGCCAAATGATACAAATCACCTTTGATAGGCTTTGGCGTTGCTGGTTTTGAAGCAGACTAGCCAAATGACGACCAAGTTGACATGCAAGTATCATTGAAAATAGAGGTACCACTCTCCCCCCCCAAAAAAATGAGTGGTTTCTTCCTTTTGGCTCCCCTCTAAAGTGACCACAAAACGGGTCCTCCACAAAAACCAGGCACACTCAAGTGAGTCATAATCAAAACCCGGTACTACCCAGAGCTAAGTAAAGAATCAAGTGGGGATTTCCCACTGCCACTAAACCACAATAAGCACAAATGTAAAATCTTTCCCAACGACAACCATGAAACGGGTCCTCCAAAAAAAGCCACCAGGCCATTTCAAGTGGCACACTTCGCGCGGTTGAACCTGCGCTCGCAAAAAATCCTCGCACCGGTCGCGCGGTTGAACCGCGCGCCTTGAGCCGCTCCTCGAATTCTCCGCGGTACTTGGCGCCGCTGATCAGGGCCCCAACGTCCAGCGCGATCACGCGGCAGGACTTCCTCGGCGAACAGCGCGCGAGCGGATCGAGCGGCGAAAAACGGGCGGCCCGACTTTGTGTTGGCACGGGTTTTGTGGAATCAAATTGAGCCCCGTTTTTTAGGGGGCCACGTTGTGTGTCGACCAGCAAAATGGTCCCAGCCCAAAGCAATTCAATTCCATACTTCGCACCTTGACAACTGGCGTAGCTGGGGTTCGTTTTGTTGTTTGTATAGCTATGGTGACAACCCACTTCTCACTTCCGACCAAGTGGATTGGCCGAAAAAAAAAAGAGGAGTTTCAAGCCATGCTTTTGGAAGCATACAGTAATATTGGCTCTTGTTTAAACCAACATTTGTCGCTGCATTCGTTTGGATGTGCTGAATGCACAAAGCCAATCACACCCACAAAGCTCCTAAAGTGGAGATAGATGAGTGTTAAATTGAAGAAGGTATTACATGTTTCAAAGACTAGATCGTCGGAAGGGTAGATTTTATTCATGAATGGAAACGAGACCAATTGTCTACCATCGTCTTGTGGTCATCTTTTTAGGCTTGAAGCAACTCTTGGATAGCCAAACTCGTTCTGCTTCGTAGGAACCCTTACAATGCTTCTCTAGACCGAGTTCATTTCCACCCCTACAAACCCTCGAATGGGTGTTTGACATGTTCTAACCATGGCGCATATACCAGGCCATGGTCTAAACTCGCGGCGTCCTCTCAATGCCTTGGGGATGTGTCCAAGAGAAAAGTCGTCTTAAACTCTCCTGTCAGCTTCCATGATTCTTGGGCGGATATCTTATGTGCGTGTAGGTGTCAACATAGAATGGCCCATAGGCGTCTTCCGTGGATTTCTATATTGAGCCTTTATTGAGCTAGGGAACTTCATCCTCCACATTGGGTCCTTGCCCTTCATTTAATGGGGGCAAGAAACATTCGGGCGAACCCCAAAAACCTTTCGGGCAGGACACAAAGCCTCAGGCACGTCTCCGATGACCACACGCTGCGCGAGGCCCTCCACGATAGCCGTCTTCCCCACACCTGAGTGTTGTCAGATGCCCAGTGGATTTCCATGGGAAAAAAGGACATCCTTTTTTGGTTGGTTGACTTTACAGGGACACCAAAAAACGGAAACAAGGGCACCACTGGACAACTGAGTGTTAGTGTATTTTCTCAGCAACCCCCCGCCCCCCCAAAACAAAAACGGAAGGAAACACCCCAAAGGAGTCCAAAGGAACGCCACTAAGGGACCCCCAATTTTCAGCTAACCTCGAGAGGAATCCCATAGACTCCTTCGGTAAGAAACAAACAAGCCAATCACCTACATCACTCTGGCAACAAGTCACAAAAGGCTCGGCAAACCGAACTCCTCTCGCCACCCTCTCGCCAGCGCAACGAACCAAAAAAAAACCGCAAACCCTCAAACCCAAATCCTTTCCTCTCCTGTTGACCCCTCCCCTCTCCTGCCCAAAACCGCCCCAAAAACCCTCCCAAAAGCTGGCCCCTCTCTCCCTCTACCGCCAACACCCGCCCCAAAAACCCGCCAAAGAACCGGCGCCCCCGGCGCCTGGATCCCCCACGAGGATGGGGTTGTTCTTGGTGCGCCTTGCCAGCACTTGCACCACCCGCCGGATCTCCTCGTCCCGGCCGATCACCGGGTCCAGGCGCCCGTTCCTCGCGGTTTCTGTGGCGGTTTCGGCTCGAGGGGTGTGGTGTTGTGCTTTTCAAGAGGTAGGGTGTGAGTGTGGGGGCGCTCAAACCACCTTCAAATGAAAGGGTTTATATAACCTGTGTGTCTGTGTGTCTGTGTAACTCTGTGTCTCTGTGTCTCTGTGTTTCTGTGTTTCTGTGTCTCTGTATTGTCTCCGTGCCTCTGTGTCTATTTGTCTCTGTGTGTCTGTGTGTCTGCGTGTCTGTGTGTCTGTGTGTCTTTTCGTCTGTGTGTCTCTGTGTCTGTGTGTCTCTGTCTCTGTCTCTGTGTCTGTGTCTGTGTGTCTGTTGTTTTGTGTGTTGGGAGCTCAAAACGCTATGAAACCACCGCCTCGGATTGTTTTTGAAGGATGCAACCCCCCAAATAGAAAGATCAAGCGTGAATCAACAGGAGTGTGTCTAATGGGGGGCCGAAAACTGGGTGGTTCTCTACGGCTTCCTTTAAAACCACTCCAAAGAGGGTATGCTCCAAAAACGACAACCCCACCTTGTTCAGCCCAAGGTGATCACCTTTTGGGGCCACCTTTCCGCGGGAACCCGAAAAGGAATCGACCTATTCCATTTCGATCGGTCGCAACTGAACGGGTCAGCACTTTGCGGGCGCCGAGTTCAACGACTTCTGCGGGGCAAACATTAGAAACAACACATATGTCCAGTGAAATCGATTCCCTTTACCACCAACCAGGGAAAAATTAACACATATTCTCAACTAGGTCCTCCAGTAGAGAGGTTCGAACAAGGGTACCAACTCTTGTCTGTCTATTTTAGTAGGGTCCCGAACCCTCCCTTCCCCCAAAAAGGGGTAAAAGAGCGGTGGCACGACTCGCTGGGGGACCTATAGCCCCTGGTTTTTCCAGGCAAACATACCTCCCTTTTTAGTTTTAGGACATGAAAGTCACCTGTTCTGAAACCTCCGGCGGGTTGCTCGGCATCCGCCACGAGGTCACGCCCGTACTTGGTGAGCGCCTGAAAAACTCAACCGCGCGGCCAATGAGCCTTGTGCCCGTCGGACAGGGTCTGTCGTTCTGTAGGATTTGGGACCCCCCAAAATAGTGCTTTTCCTTTTGGGTTCCCTCTAAAACCACCAAAACATGGGTACTTCCACAAAGACGCGGGTGTCTTTGAGGGTTACCCTTGTTTGGGTCTTAAAGGGAAACCGAAGGGAAACCAACCCATCTTAGAGGGTCCACAAAAACAAGGCGAGCCAGGATTTTCATCGGGGGTCACAAGCCTTGTGGAAATCCGTCACTTGTGTGGGTGACACACCCTACTTGGGTGTTTAACCAATTTTAGGTGACGATAACCCCAGTTGCACAACATATAACCAGGCTAACCTAAAACAAGGAAAAACATTCGAGGAACTTCTTATGGCTGCGGCGAAAATGACCCAGGTGATCGCCAATAACGGTGAAGTTGGGGTTGCTTCAGAGGGACTACATAAGGAACCACCCCATTATGCACGGTTGATATCCCAGTGACTTGGTTCTAGCAAGATGGCGAGACGGATTTATGAAGCCCGGACTTCAATCGTCCTAAGCCAGAAAGTAGAACCCATTGCCAAAACGGCCTGGTTTGTCGTGTTTAAATGGACACTCAAAGGAAAACCGAAGCCATTTTGGGGGGGCTCCAACCTAGAAACACACATATATATATATGTATATATATATATATAGTGGGCCAAAAGAGGGGGGGGGTTTGGGGCGCTGAGGGTCAGTGTTCGGCCTCAAAGTTCTCGTCCCCCGTCTGGCTGTCCACTTTCTTGGAGCCTCGCAGGTCCTGCGGAGAACTTTTGTTTGCGGGTTCCCAGCCCCCAACCAAAGTCTGATTCTGGACCCAATTTGAGTCAGTCAAAACCCGGTATTAAACTGGTTGACCCAGAACCATGTAAGGAAATACAAAGGCGGCCGCAACTATTATGCCTGGGATCGTCCCTTACTAACCTTCATCTACCCGGGCTCTGATTCTGGACCCAATGTCGTGAGCCTAAATGTAAGTAACATTGTTTCAGTCCAAGATCCCAAACTGGGCTGCTCCCAAATCCCCTACTAAAAGTCTAACTTTCAGTTCAGCGGAAAATGCCGCTAAATGCTAGAAAGCTAAAAGAAACTGAGGGCATGGCTGGCACCAAGAAAACAGAACGTGACTTGTCTTCTGATTGACTTCGGACAAATGACTGCCCATGGGGGGAGGAGATGTGCTTCTTGCGGGTTGATGTGGAACGGGACTCCTCCGTCAGATGCCCAGTGGTCGTGGGGAAAAAAACAAAGACGTGAAACCCTTTTGTTGCTAAATCTGACCCCCCCCCCCCCCCCAAAAAAAAAAGCAAGAAAGAAAGAAGAGAAGAGAAACACGTGGAATACGCTCGGCAACTGGGCCTCCCTATGTTCGCTTTCTTCGTGCGAGATATGGCTGTGGGTCAAAAATAGGTACCCCAAATGGAACCCTAGTAAGTGGAAACTTGGACCAAAACCTGCGGTCCCTGGTGGTGTAATTTGACCCATACCCATATCGGGGATTCACCAATTCACCCCACCTGCATCGCCTTCTCCACCAGCGAGATGCTGTAGCCCGCAGAGCTCAGGACCTGCGAATGTTGCGGTGGTCCAATCCAGTGAGCATCAGCACCAGACAACCTGCTTGTTGTCTCACTCAGTTGTTAGTGAGCCTGGAAAAAAAGGGAACCCTTTTTGGGGAAGACCACTTTTAGTGGGGCAGCCACAAACAAAAAAGGGAAAAAGGTGCCACTGAACAACTGAGGTCAGTGCTCGTGGAGAAAGAAGGGGCCCCAGTTTGAGCAGCGCCAACTCTCCCCTTTGAGCCTTGGTTTTTGTGAAAGCAAGCAAAGCGAAATCGCCCCCTGTCAGTGTAGGGAGTTGGTCGAAAAACAACAAAATACAAACCTGTTTTAGGAGCTTGGTGTTGGTCATATAGCACCCACTCAATACCAAGCATTCAGTTTACCAAGTTTCTGCTCGTCCGGAGCCCTCCAAACTAACACTAGCTTCATGATTTTACCATGATCAAAGTCACCCCGGCAGTGGTGGGTTAAAGGGAAACAACCCACCATTTTCTGACCTGGAACCCCCAGAAACAGGGGTCCTTGCATTATACACCTGAACGTTGCCTTGTAAATGGTGGTTTCCCTTTATTCTGGTGTTGAAAAAGCAACATGTTTCAAATGGTTGCAAAATGTACCTTTTGAGGGGTTTGAGAAACCGTCAAAAGAATGACGCCAGTAACAGCAAAAGCATTTCGAGGACTTTCAGGGGGTGCCGTTTCCAGCCAAAAGGAACCCGCAAATTGGCTTGGACCCCATAGCTCTGGCTGGGGAACAAACACTACCCTCTCTCCCACTAACATACTGTGGATGGACGAAATCCAATTCGAACCACCCAAGAAACCCCGGAATAATGTTCGCCCTGTAACTACCAGCAAACAAGGGTTCCCATTTTTTTCAAGGTGGTGCAGGATTCTGTCCATCCACAGTAGCACCTGTTGGAGGGTACCTAGAAGATCAATTTGCTCCTGAAGGGAATTTCTGTGAGGTGCCATGTGAGTTGGAGGGAGGGTATTTTCTACCCTTGGTGTTTACTCATTTTAGGAACTGCTCACACCAACCCCAACTAACACATTCCGCAGTGACAGCTGAAATTCGTTCACTCAAAATAGGCAATCCTCAGCAAGGACGTGTCATTTTGGACGAGCTTGTTCTACCCCTATGTGAGCTCGCTATAGCTAGTGCAAACCAATTTAAGAGGTCCCCCCCCCAATTTAGAGAAAAACCAAATTGTGTGCGAGCTTCAAGCGGTTGGATCCTTCAGTGGACTTGACTTGCTTGTTGAACAAACAAACAGGGATATACGGGGATGTATGTCCCAAACGTGAACAAAGAAGCGCGACAAAAGGCGATTTGAGCGGTGTTGGATTTCCTACAAACTTCATTGGACATGATCCAAGCTTCTGCGGACCCTTCCGCATCCTTGCCGCGGGACAAGAAGTCCCTTCCACGAACTTCCGGGGCACATGTGGTCCATGGCTTGCTTCGGCAAACCTTCTGCGGCGCATGTTTTACAAGATTTGCTTCCGCGAGTATTGGCGAAGAAAGGAAAGTCAGTTCAAGTGAGGAAATCAGTGCTTCGCCGCAGCCTGTGCAGGCTTGGGCTCCATTGGGCTACCCGCACTTCCTACAAACATGGGGCCACTGTTCCGCGGAGCTTCCGCAAACCCTGCGCGGACCTTCTGCAAACTCCGCCGGATGTTTTGGTCTTGGCATGCTGTTAGCAACTGCTCTTCTAAAAAAGTTGTGATTCTTGCACGCAGCAACACCTTTCTGCTTCTACTGTAATCGCTTCTTCGTGCTGCTCCATGCACACAAACTGAAACAATTAACTTCATTTCAGCCACGAAGCTTCCGCAAACCTTCCACGAAATAAATCCCTTCCGCGAAGCCTTCAGCATGCTTCCGTGCGTGTGGCGCGGCGCATAAGTTCAATAATAATGTCCCTGCCCCTCATTTTGAGGGGCCTAGCAAGCTCGAACATGGACATTAACCATAGTAATGATAATATCTATTACGCAATAATAATAATAATAATAATAATAATAATAATAATAATAATAATAATAATGATAATAATGATAATAATGATAATAATAATAATAATAATAATAATAATAATAATAATAATAATAATAATAATAATAATAATAATAATAATAATAATAATAAATAATAATCATACTAATAATACTACTACTACTACTACTAATAATAATAATAATAATAACAATAATAATAATAATAATAATAATAATAATAATAATAATAATAATAATAATAACACCAATAATAATGATAATAATAATGATCATAACACCAAAACAAGGGAGCCTAACAAGACTCTGCAAACAACAAACATGGTAAAACACGTGATGGACATGGTCTGTCCATCAACCAGGGAGGGCCTAAACTCGAACCCCCCGGCCGATTCGCCGATCTCGCCTCCTTGATTGCTTTTTGCTTCAGCAAGGCCAGGAAGAGATCTGGCAGGCTCACGTAGCCTGAGATGGCTGTGGGTCAAGCTCCGTACCCCCAGTGAACATCCCAATCCCCACTAGCGTTTTTGATTTCAGGCATTAGAGCTGAGTGACGATGCTCACACCATTCACGTTGAGAATTTGACAATGAGGCCGCGGTGCAACCACACACACAGACAGAGAGCGAGAGCGAGAGCGAGAGCGAGAGAGAGAGCGAGGGAGTGCGAGAGCGAGAGCGAGAGAGAGAGAGACAGAGAGAGAGGGAGAGCGAGAGAGAGAGAGAGAGAGACAGAGCCAGAGAGAGAGAGAGAGAGAGAGAGAGAGAGAGAAAGAGAGAGAGCGAGCGAGACAGAGAGAGAGAGAGCGAGAGAGAGACAGGCCTTTCAAGCACCTGAACCTTCCATTGTTACGTACATTTATGTCACGAAAAAGAAAAAACAAAAAAACTGCTCGGGCAACCTATTTTTGCCCAAGGAACACCGGCTTCTTGCAAATACCAATTGTTACTTGATTTGGATTTGCAATCGTTTGGTGGTTGCGCCCGTTTTGCGGCCTGCAACGCAACAAACTATAATATGAAAAAAAGGCTGCCGCAAAAGTGCTCGAATCCAAATATGCGCCGTTCCCGTATAAAAAAAAAAAAAAACGATCAGTGTTGTATTGTAACCCTATTTCCGTGTTCTTTGGTGCAAACCAAACCCAAGACAACGGACCAGGGTGGCGTCCAGCCACCACAATTTGCTTCTGCAAAGTGTGTGCCACTTCGAGATTGCAATGCCTCACCCATGGGGCAACTGGTCCAGCTGATGCAGAAATTGTTTCTATACCTTTAAACTTGAAATCACCACAACTGCTCAAAGGATTCTCATACGCTGGCAGCCGCCTAGATATAGGCTATGGTTATATATATTTTTTTGGATGTGGTTCCTTCGATGACCGAGCGGACACAAAACACCACCAAACTGTTCGTCCAAGAAAGTTCGAAACGGAACTCAGGAAGTGAGGGGGCCCCAAAATGTTTCCCTGAAAACTAAGCCAATAAGATACAAACCACAAAAACAATAAAACAAACAAACTAAACAACAAACAGACACCAAAAACAAACCCAAAAAACAACAACACCACAAACACACACACACAAGAAAAAACAAAAAACCGGCCACGAAACCAACAAACGAGACCCGCCCTCGGCTTCGCCGAGGCACTGCCTGAGGAGGCCTTCCGCTGCTGCTCGGCCTCCTGCAGCGTCTGGCGCATGGCGTTGTTGGGCGCGATGTCCTGGCGAACTCGGAACTCGGAGCCCCAAGGAACCCACCGGAAGCTCCATACTGTGGATGGACGAAATCCATTTCGCACCACCTAAGAAACCCTGGAAGGATGAGTCCCCTGTAAATACCAATAAACAATGGTTTCTCATGGATTCCAAGTGGTGCAGGATTTCGTCCACCCACAGTAGGTGGGCTTTGGGGGAAAATCGATGGGCTTCCAACTGGTAAATGGATGGCATACTGTGCACCACTTGGAAACCATGGTTGAAACCATTGTTTGGGAATCATCCCTCTAGGGCCTCTTAGTTGATGCATAACTTCATCCATCCACAGTAGGTGGCCTTTGGGGCAAAAATAGATGGGTTTCCAACTGGTACATGGATGGCATAATCCCCCGACTCTAAACCACTGGAATTCTGCCATTTTTAGCCGCACTCACCTAAAAAGAATATGGGAAGCTTTCGCCCAAACCTCGGCGCTGACTTTTGGTTCTACCAAGTTGCTTGAGGGTTATATTGGCCATATTTTACGACTCTTGGTCAAAATTTGTGTGACCCCCCCAAAGTGGTAAAAGAAATGGACCATTTAACCCGTCCAGTTCCTGAAACACAAAAAGTGACCCATACCACTCCGAGCCACCAAGCAAGCTTAGGCTTTTCGATGAGAAATCCCAGGCCCCAGGAACCGGATGCCTGGGCAACAGGTGCCCCTCTGAATTTCGCCGCCAAACCAACGCCCGAACCACGGCCGACCCGCCACGGCTCACGTTCTACCCCGGGGTTCTTTTTGGGGGTCCCCAGTTCCCCCGCTCCGAATCTGCACTTGAAAGCATGAATCGGCCAGTTTCAATCGGCCGAGGAAACTCCGAGGTGGAAACTGTACAAACATGCGGCCTTGGTGTTTGAATAGGGAACCCCCTGGAACTCAGGCCACCTGGAAAAAAACAACGGGTGCGAAGTGCGAGGGATCACCTGCAATTTTTCAGCTGTGTCAAAAACATCGGACTCGGAAAACATATCCAAACTTATATATATATATATATTAATTTGTTTTTCAACCTTCGGTTGGAAGATCAAAAAGGGTCGGCGTCTCGCGGGGGGGTGCCGTGGGCCTACTTGACCAGCCACGGGAAGGCCGACCCAGTGTTGGCCCCAGCCAAACTCAGGGGTGTGCTTTATCTAGGTCCTCCAGTAGAGAGGGTAGAATAAGGGTACCAACTTTGTTCTGTCTATTTTAGTAGGGGAATCCTCCCAACCAAAAAAAAAAACGGTCAAAGGGCACTGGGGGACCTAGTTATCAGCACATGGGTCAATCTGCCAAGCGGAGCGCCCGCCCGCACGAGTAACAAACGGATCACCCAGCCGAAGCCCCGGCGCTTGCAGTGGCACAGCCCATGTAATCCCTCCCACGTTTCAACCCAACCCCCTCCCACCCCCCGAAAGGATAGAAAGGTACCAGTTACCAGGGCCTACGCAAGCAGAAAGGGATTGTCGGGAATTTCGACATCAACCAACGTCATGAGCACAGATGCGAGATGTTGGAACTTGTTAGGGCTATGTATATCTCTATATATGTATGTATATATGTATGTATATATATATATATATACATAACATATATATATATATAATATGTTCCATCTCAGAAACTCAGTGACATCCTAAGTTGGAAACTCACAAACTCAACTGGACCTGGGCAATTTATAACATCTCATCCGCAAAAACTTCATGGGCGACATCGCTTCATCCGCCCCCGAGCGATGTAGTTATTTACGCCCAACCCCAGATGCCCAGTGGCCATGGGAAAAAAAGAATCGGCACCCTTTTTGTGGTTGGCGCACTTTAAAGGAATCGGACCCCTTACCCCAAAAAAAGGCTCAAACAAAAAGACGCATTGCCACTTCTTGGTTTTTGGTTGCTTGACTTTTTCAAGGGGGGTTCCCCCTTACCCAACAAAAAAAAGCTCGTGACACCTCCACCTGGCAAACCACCGCCGGTTGCAAACCAAACCCCACCTGAACCGCACGGGGCGAGCGGATCGCGGCTCGCGGCTCCTCTGGCGCCGGCTTCTGGGAGCTGAAGCTGCTCAGCAGGCGCTCGCAGCCCTTCTGCACCTTCGGGCCACGCTGAGCTTCGCCATAAGGCAAACTCCCGTCCAAAAAAACAACAACAGGGGAAGATGACCAAAAGGATTCTTAAACAAAACTTGGTTGACGTTGAAGGGGAGCAAACATTGGAAAAAAAAACAAATTAGCAGCTAAGTGGATTTGGATTTCAAGCCCTAAACCACACTAAGATCAAACATGTAAAAACTGTTTCCCAACGACAACCATGTATTAGGAGACCCCTAAATTGTGGCTGTTCTTTGGTTTCCTCTAAAACAACATAAATTAGGGGTACCTTGAAAAATGAACACCCCGCACCCACGTACTAGGTCCTCTCCAGATTTGAGAGGTTAGAACAAGGGTACCAACTTTATTGTGTCTATTTCAGTAGGGGACCCTCCCCCCAAAAAAGGGTAAAAGGGCACTACTGGGGGACCTAGAAGCAGCATCCCAACCAACCACAAAGCAAGCAACCAGCCAAGCATCCAACAAACCCAGCAACGAAGCAAGCAACGACGCAAGCAACGAAGCAGCGAAGCAACGATCCAACCATCCAACCAAGCAACAAACCCACCAAGCAAGCAAGCAACCAAGCAAGCAACCGACCAGCCGAACAAGCAACCAGCCAACCAGCCAGGAAGCAAGACGGAATAACAACGCAACCGGAAACCAAACCAATAAGCAATCAACCAACCCACCAGCCATATCACCAAACAAATAAACACAACCGAACCTTTCTCCTGCAACCCTGTGTCAGCTTCCATGGCTGCTTTTGAGAGGAAAAAAAGCGAGGTGTTTCTCCTCCCCAATTTGTACACTCCCGTGTTTCTTCGTCGGAGGGTATGAACTGCGCCCCACGTATCCCCCAACAGCGCGGGGACCTCCCTGCCACCTCAGAGCCCCCCCCCAGCCATATGGGCTAAGACCCCAACTGATGCCTCCAACCCTTGCTAGTTTAGCAACCTACTTAACTACACTGAACAGAAGCAAAGAAGCAAACAACTGGGCACGCTACAACAAAAGGCCTGAACAGGGGCCCATGCTCTACTGAACAAACATAAACACCAAACAAGCTACACGTATCCTCAACACAGGTCAGTCGGTTACCTCCGAAATTTGCCCGAAAGAAGAAATGCCTGTCAACATAGCCAAGACGACCCCGCAGAAGATGGGGGACCAAGGAACTTCAAACATGGCTTCCTTAAAAGTGAGTCCTGAAGATTCCTGGCAAATGCTTTCTCACCAATGACCTGGCAACGCTTTGCCCATAACGGGGACCTCTGCCATAGGGAAAAAGGGAGCACAAAAAAAAAGGTCAACAGGTGGACATTGGACAGAGCTCGAAACATCTTGGCTGTCCGTTTTCAGATCCCCTGCTGAAAGTTGTCAACGTTTGGTGAGATAAAAATGGAAACCCAATCACTAAACCACCTAGAAACCTAACAAAAAGAAACTAAGGAACCAAATGGCCTCTGAACCACCAAGCCCCATGTAGCTCTCACGCCATCCAAAACTTGGTTGCTGTTGACCCCCCGGCAAAAAGTGGAAAACTGTTTGGGGTTTAGTGGAACACCCACCTTGATGTCAACCAAGAGGTTAAAGTCTAAACACCCAACCCAATAGCAGTCAAGGTGGTGGCACACCAAGGATTTGTGAGTGCCAGACCATGTCATACCACCATGTCCAACGACTTTTTTACGTTGAAAGACTCGAACCCATCTTAAACCAAGCTCTATTATGGAGGTATTTGAGTTTGTAGGCCTCTACGGAGTCGCCGTTCAGGCGGCTCAGCACTTGCGCAGGCAGCGAGGAGCGGTCCTGGCGCGTCCAGCCGCTTTTGCGATCAGGGGCGCCCAGGTGAATGGGTTCTACTCATCCGCTGCACCCTATTTCTAAATACTGTTAGTAGAGGCGGTTCGGGCTTTTTTAAATGCCCCTTTTACTTCTCATCAAGTTTTGTTTATAGAGGCGATTCGGGCAAACAAATAAAAATGCCCCTTTTACTTCTCATCAAATCTTGCTTATATAGAGGCGATTCAGGCAAAAATCAAACAAGTCAGCTCGGGCCTTTTACTTCTCATCGACCCAGCAGGACAATCATATCCAAGAGGAACCCACTGATTTTCCACCCATTTATACGGGTTCAACGATACTGTTCGTGACTTCCGGCTGTGAACCCAGCCCAAACTCCTTGCTGGTGCGATAAGTAGGGAACGTGGGAATCAACCGAGAAAATTCCCTTCAAGGAACCCACAAATCGGATGGATGGTTTATCTCGAGGGGTCAGCAACCATTTCTCATGGCCCGATCGCAAGACACCTCACCCATCGCACGACTCGATCCGCCGCGTGTCTCTCGAGACTCGACGCGCGTCTCCCACTCCCCCGAGTCGGACGAGTCGAGACTCGACGCGCGTCTCCTTCAGAAGCACCGCGAAGACGTGGCCGGGGTCCAGCTGCAAATGGCCCTTCTCCTTGGCCAGGCGCGTCGCCTCCTTGATGACCTGCGCTGAGAGGGCGTCCAGCTGATGGCGCTCATGGTTTTTTCCTTTTCTTTTTTTGGCGAAGTGTCCTTTGGTCAACTTTGCTCCGAAAAACACACGCACAAAAAGGGCAGAATTCACCCAGGGCCTGCTTTGGGTTGATCCTGTAGATTCCACGGCGTTTTTTGGGAAGGGAACCCAGTTGAAACCACAGAATCCGATCCGCAAATGCCCAGTGGATTTCCACGGGAAAAGAAAGGGCATCCTTTTTTGGTTCCAGGGGTTGATTCCTCATTCTTTTCAGCCATCGTTCTTTTCAAAAACCAGACATTTCCCTCGGGTTTTTGGTGGTTTTCTAGAAAGAAGGATCCCTGGAAAGAATTTGGAGGTTACCCCTAGATTGGTTGGTTGACTTTAAAGGGACACCCTCCCCCCAAAAAAAGGAAAAAGGGCACCACTGGGCAACGGGGATCCTGTACGTGGATATTTGGGGGACTCATTCTTTTTAGGTAGCCCCTAATTGGTGGATGGTCGGTTTGGGTATGGAATGGAACGGCCCTGGCTTTACAGGGTAAATGGGGCACCCCTCCGGAATACTGATCTTTTTTTGGTCCACTGTGATACACAAAAGGAAAAACAAGGAAGCCACAAAGTCCATAACCCTCATGAGCAAAGCCCTCATGTGAAAGCGAGCAGATCAGCTGCCACAAAGTTTGGTGCTTCAGTGCGGCTTCCGTTGCTTTTAACGCCTCCAATCGCGGAACACATAGGCGGAACTGGGAGGTGGTGAGGGCCTGGTGAATGGAACCAAAACCAATCTAAACCGGTGGAACTCATCGATTTCTGACCAAACTCACCGATCCAAAGCCCACCTATGATTTGGAGGTACCCTTTTTGGGCCTCGAGTTGGACAACGTTCTTGAAGGAACGCCGGGCCCCGAGACAAACAAACAGCAGTGGGAAAAACAAAACAAACAGGAGCAGCAGGTTCTGTCTCGCCTCTTTTGCTGTCTTCTTACACCTTCCAACTACCTCACATAAGCCTTTGCCATACTTCCGATCAGAACTTGCCAGACGTCCTCAAATTGAGCCGAGAGCCCGACACGGGGCCCTTAGGCCCTGACCAAAGGGCAGAACCCCTTTTCTACCCTTGCGCTGTATTTGGCCAAGAAAACTGGCGGCTTGGTTGCTATGGACTCCTCTGCAAAAAGCTGAACTGTTTCTGGGTTCAATGGCCCTTGATTTCTCAAAAAGTGATGTAAAGTGCGAAAATCGTCATGCTGGCTGCCTTTAACTACCAAAAGCATGTCCAGAGTGGACTGGGTGTTTTCCACTTTGCAACTGGGTGTTTTGCTAGCTGGTGCTTCTGTACTGGCTTTGGGCCTTGTGCAGTCCTTGGCGCGATAGCAGTTGTAGCGTAACACGTGCGTTCCCATTGTCACTACTAGCTCTTGGATAACAGTATCCCCTACTGTCAGCTGCTTGACAGGCCTCAATTCCACTACTGGAAGAAACGCATTTCAGAAATAGTGTTTGGCGCCGACTAGCAGGGGAAATGACGCCTTGAAGGAATCTCCCACACCATATAATTAAACATGCTTCCCTCAAGCCCGAAGCCCCCAAATATCTACCAACCAGGCCCCTACCCCCCCCCCCCCAACTATGACGGAAGCAGCATTCTTCTCATACATTCCCTGGACCCCAAGAGTGTTTGAAGTCAATCGCTTTGAGACTCGATTGTGCAATTACACACCTCTTGCATATAGCTGTGCCCTTGCACGTGTTTGGGCCGTGCAAGGGGGGGGGGCCCGTTCGTACGGACAAGTGCGTAGCCAAATCCCCTCAAAAAAAAAGGATCCCTCGGCCCTCTAACATTGCCTAATTTGGGAAAGGTTTCGAGGTCACGCCCAAGGGTCACACTTCAAATTTGTAGAAAGGGTTTGGCCCGACCGGAGGCCAAAGAAACATTTCACAGCACCATGCGGCGTTGAACACGAATCAAGCCACACGCGCAAAGAGCCCCAACTTCAGCCATGAGCCCAGACTCGCAAAAGAGAAGCTCTCCTACAAGCCACGCTGTAGCCTAACACAGCATGATGTGTTCATGAAGGTGGGTCTTGTCAAGGGTGTCTGCTCCCCTGTGCGCACTGACCCCAAACCCAGTTAGTCCTCACGTTGCAGGACCACGAAGCAAGTTCAAGGAGCGGTCAAAGCATGTCAGTCACTGCTTCAAGGGGCGCACACGGTTGCTGGCCTACATGGGCAGCTGCAGGCTGGGCTGAGAGTCGATTGGGGGAGGCCTGAGACAAAGAAGCTTCAAGGCAGGAAACAGAGCAGGACACGCTACGATGTGTTGAAGAGGAGCGCGCAGTTGTCGCGCTGATGCCAACATCCGAGTCTTCGCTGTGCATCAGTGTGCAAAAGCCTGACCCAAATCATGACTGTTCCCTCGGTGGTCTTTATTGATGAAAGGGGCTACCAGTCAGAATGCGATCAACGTCTTGGCGGCCAACTTGGCTCAAACAGCCAACTCGGATTGGGCAAAGTGACGGGTTTTCCTGGCCAACTTGGCTCAACTAGCCAAATTCATTTCTCCCAAATGACGCGATTTCCAGAAATCACATGATGAAGCCCAGCCAACTGCATTCAGCCAGCCAAGTTGCGCCCCAAAACCAACCACAACTCCTGACCCCCCAGCCCATGTGAAATCGCGACGGGTTTTCCAGCAAACCAGTCACAATTTAGCCCTGAAACTGCAAACCCATCACACTTTTGAGGGCTGACACAGTGCAGTAAGTGTGACGGGTTTGCCCAAAAAGCCACAAATTGCGACGCGTTTTCTGGAAAACCAGTCACACTTTGGGAGGGCATGCCTTCCTCCAAAGTATGACGGGTTTTGACCTGAGACCCGGCGCAGCAAGCAGGCACTCAGCCGATCAGACCCCAGCTCATTCGGATTCTAGGCACCATTCCCCCCTCGAGAGCCAGCCCTTTAGCTGGTTGCCGACTGGTAGCCCTTCATCAATAAACACCACCTAGGGAACAGTCATGATTTGGGTCAGGCTAATGGACACTGATGCACAGCGAAAACTCGGATGTGGGCATCAGAGCGAGAACTGCGCGCTACTCTTACACATCTTAGCGTGCGTTCTTGTGTCCTGCTCTGCTCCTGCCTTGAAGCTTCTTTGTCTCAGGCCTCCCCCGCTCGACTCTCAACCCAGCCTGCAGCTCATGTAGGCCAGTGGCCGTGGCCGTGTGCCCCCCTTGAAGCAATGACTGACATCTTTGACCGCTCCTTGAACTTGCTTCGTGGTCCTGCAACATGAGGACTAACTGGGTTTGGGGTCAGTGCGCACGGGGGAGCAGACACCCTTGACAAGACCCACCTGCATGCACACATCATGCTGTGTTAGGCTACAGCGTGGCATGTAGGAGAGCTTCTCTTTTGCGAGTCTGGGCTCATGGCTGAAGTTGGGGCTCTTTGCGTGTGTGGCTTGATTCGTGTTCAACGCCGCATGGTGCTGTGAAATGTTTCTTTGGCCTCCGGTCGGGCCAAACCCTTTCTACAAATTTGAAGTGTGACCCTTGGGCGTGACCTCGAAACCTTTCCCAAATTAGGCAATGTTAGAGGGCCGAACAGATGCTAGGGGATCCCTTTTTTTGAGGGGATTTGGCTACGCACTTGTCCGTACGAACGGGCTCCCTCCTTGCAAGGCCAAAACACGTGCAAGGGCACAGCTATCTGCAAGAGGTGTGTAATTGCACAATCTAGTCTCAAAGCGATTGACTTCAACCACTCTTGGGGTCCAGGGAATGTATGGGCGAAAGTGCTGCAGCGTGAGAGCCGCGACTCGCGCAGAAACAAGCGAACATTAGAGCAAAGCAAGGGCCTACCATACTGTCTGGAAATGTGTCCTACCGCAAGCTTGGTTGCCACCAGCAACGTGGGAGATTCCTTCAAGGCGTCCTTTCCCCTGCTGGTCAGCACGGCGCCAAGCACAATTTCTGGAATTTGTTTCTTCCAGTAGCGGAATTCAGGCCTGTCAAGTAGCTGACAGTAGGGGATACTGTTATCCAAGAGCTAGTAGTGACGATGGGAACGCACGTGTTACGCTACAACTGCTATCGCGCCAAGGACTGCACAAGGCACAAAGCCAGTACAGAAGCACCAGCTAGCAAAACACCCAGTTGCGAAGTGGAAAACACCCAGTCCACTCTGGATATGCTTCAACCAAGCGGGTTCCAGAATTTGGGTTAGGACCATCTCTGAAAACTCGCACTCCCACACAACCTCACAAGCAAACCATCTCAGGTTTGGCACCCACCAAGTAGCTGGCGCACGCGGCAGTCACCCTACCACTCGCCCACCGCTTGCTGCCAGCCTAAGGAGTTCTTACATGTGCAACTTAAGATCATCATCCAAAAAGGAAACTGAGCTTAAAACACTTCTCCAAACGGCGACGCAACAAACACACCCACCAGTATAATAAGCACCCCTGAAGAAAAATGTTCTTTAGTGACTTTACATTGGACCCCAGCAGGTGTTTGTATTTTCTAGGTCCTCCAGTAGAGAGGTTAGAATAAGGGTACCCTTTTTTCTGTAGTCGATTTGGGTAGGGTTGAACCCTCCCAACCAAAAAAGGGGGTAAAAGAGCGGGCACCTAGCTGGGGGACCTAGTTTTAGTCAGCCCAAAGAACCATCTCCGGTCGCTACACCTCGTCCCCACTCCCCGCTTTTGTGGATTCCTCCGGCCTTGCCCGTCATCTCCGTGAACTCCGCGGACATGGTGGCCCCGCGAAAACGACGCAGGCGGCGCGCTTTGGGGAAGTCCAAAGCAGCTGGCGCGGCTTTGGGAGGAAGCTGCGGGTCACGTCCGCGTGGAAAAAGTGTGGTTGGTCTGGGAGGGGGGGAGTTGGATGGCTATGAATAAATTCGCGGAACCCGAAGGAAGCCAAAAGGAAACCAAGAACTAAGAGACCCAAAAGGAAGCCAACAGGCACCTTTGAGTGGAGCTTAGGCAACACACACCCAAACACCAAGCTTGAAAAAACCAAAAGCTATCTAGGGATGTGTCACTTTCCAAAGACCGCCTGACTTGTCCAAGAGCTTTCTCTAGGCTCCCCCCCCATTTTGAGGAAAACTCCGCCTTCCGTTGCACCAGCCTTCCGTTCTTTGACCTGTGAACTCACTCACTTCCGATCCAGTGGATTGGCCAAACAAGTCCAAACTGCTTGCTTGCCACGAACATATACTATGGTCCAGACCCAGAAAGCGACTAAAGTCCAAAACGGAATTCGAAGTCAGGAAGTGAGAGTTTCCCTTTAAACGACCCTCACTCCCCAGAGGCACGCCACGCTTTTTGCCCGAGTCCTCTGAGTTGCCGGGTCTCCTGGCCAGGCGGGGCGTGCAACTTAAGTTGATGCCCCTCTTGCAGATGCTTTTGGAAAGTGATATCTGGGCTGCCCTCAGATCCCCCGCTAAAAGTTTTAAATTGTGGGTCAAATGGCAACTACCACTAAACACCAAAAGGCTAAAAAGCTAAGGAGATGGCTGGGAGCCACCAAGATATCAGAGGACTGCCAAACGAAAACCTCCCAGGACGCATGTGTACAAAATCAGGCGTGGATCGTGATTGGTCTGGTAGGTCAAAACGGAAGCAGGGCTTCAAGCTTCCGTGCCAAAGCTCGCCGAGCTTTGGCGCTGGTGCATCTGAAATGTCTGGCAAGATGGATCCTCGGACCCCAGTCCTGAAATGTCTTCAAGAGATGTTGTTTCTTTCTTTTTTTTAACCTTGTCTACGATACCCACATGAGCCATCGGTGCCTTGCCACTCTCGAAGGATTTCGTCGCAAACTAAGTGGCCAAAGCCACAACCTTCCTGTGAGCGACCCATGTTTGTTTGGGGCGTGGAGAAACAAACGCAGCTCGACAATATGTCCTTGGTGTTTTTTTTGCCCCAAGCATTGACAGTGTTGGGTCATTTGACACCCGCAGATTTTGCGAAGCTGTGGCTCAACACCGGGTAAACCCTCTAAACCCCCAGTTGGGTTTGTCTTTTTTGAAGGTACCCCGTTTTAGGAAACCAACAGGAAAACCACCATTCTCGGGGGTCCCCTGAAAAAGACATACCCAGTTTATAGAGCAAGACAGCTAAGTCTGCAGTCCCTTGGCGCCGCACCCTCGCAGCCTTACCCTTGCGGCTCCTTCTTCCAGCGCCAAGTGCGGCGAATTCGAATCGGCCGGCTGGAGCCAAGCGGTGGCAAGCTGCATAGATGGGGTTTGATTGTTTGAAGGGCACCAAGTCTTGGGATTGTGTAGAGGGACCAAAGTGGGTGTGGCTCAAAATTAAACAGGAGGGGCAAACCGCAGGGTTTGGTCCATGTTTCCACTTACCAGGGCTTGCGCCATTTTGGAATTCCGGTTTCTTGAGCCACAGCCAAGTGGGAAAAAAAACCGCCCTTGGTTCATCTAGTTCATCAACCGAGTTCTGAAATTCCCTTTTGGCGCTGCCAATTCTTTGGGGTCAAACCGGACAAAGGAAAGGGACCACACCCAAAAAAGGGGTGCCCCCCCCCCATTGACAGGCGCCCCCATGTGAAACGAAGGCGATTTGGGCGATTTTCTGACACCCATTTTGAGGCAAACCCCAATTTGACAGGTGCCAGAAAAAATCGGTTCTATTCGTTCCACACCCGAATTACTCAATCACGTGAAGCATAGGCCCAGGCCACAAAAATAAATGTTCATATTCAAGCACCAGCTTTCAACCTTGAAAAGCCAATCAGGTGAAAACCGACATCTCCTATTCCGGCTATGAACAAATAAGCAGGGCTTCATTAATTTGGGGTCAACATTAATCAATACTTACAAGGATGGTGCTCAATAATTTGTTTACATTTGGGAACGCCATGAATTCTCAGACACTCACCCACTGGCACTCCCCAATGGTTGGTTTCTTTTTTGATGAATGGGGGTTGTCCCTTTTTTAATGGGGCCGTCACTTTTGTAGGCAACATCCCCACCCCCCAATTAATAGGTTGGTTTAACAATCTGGCATCAACATAGGAGGGGTCTGAAACAACATATCATCCATCTCCCTCGGGTCATGTTTGCACCCAAACCTGTGACGCCTTCCAAACGAGGCGGGAGGAAGGGGTTGAACCTTCTCGCCCTGCAAACCTTGCTTGGGCCAAGAAAACTTTCACTCAACCGTTGAACGTTGAACCCAAAGGCTTGCAAGGGGAAAGTGGGCGTCCCATTTCTTTTCCCCCCAACAGCTGAAAGCTTTGGGGTCTCAGCCCAGATAGGCTCCGGCCATGAGGTAAGGTTCCACGACGGGTTCCACCAGGGTTCCACGAGGTTCCGCGAGGCTGCGGGCTGGTGCGAGCACAAAAGAGAGCACTTTATGTTGTTGGGGATATTACCTAAGCTTATTTTATCTTGATTTTTTGACAACGTGGGGTTCTTTAGGTTTCCCTTTAACAGCGACCCAAAAAGGGAGCCTTTTTAATGTGAACCCCCCAGAAGGTGTTTTTGCAACAAGGTGGCTTTTCATGCGACAAAATGTGTTTTTGTCAGGTTTCCCTTTAAAACCATCCCAAAAAGGGAGCCCTCAAAAAGGACCGAGCCGTACGACTCCTTCCCGAAGCTTTTCAGAGCTTCGCCCGCAATGGTGGTGATTCAAGGGACTCCAAAAGGAACGTTCATGGTCCCGCACCGCCGGACCAGTGCAATCGGCCCTGGTTTAACTGGTGGGTCAATCAAATACCAGGGCCATCTATTTTCCCAAAACGGGCACCTATGGTTCTTGATTTTTCCCTGTTGGGGTTGACGGGATTTCACGACTGGACCTTTATTTCCGCATTGTTACCAATCCCTTTTCCTTTGCTTCATCTCTCCCTTCCGAGGCTTTGGCCTCCCAGTAGCCTTGCCCCGCCGCGCGCACCTGCAACTGGCGTTCCATGAATGCGCAAATTTGCGCTCGCTGAATCGCCCCAGGAGCCGGCCTATGAGGCAATCCTCAAGCCAAGGCTCCCCTTCGACTTCTCTCCAGCGATCAACTTTGTCCAGCGACCTTCGAAAAACCAGGTCACCCAGCACCGCCCAACGTCCAGAACTTGCCTTGCCCCAGAGAGAAGACAGGCCTTCCTGTGCTGCCTGGGCAAGGTGCAAGAGAGTGACCAGTGACCAGCTTTGCTTCTTGGGCCTCAGAGGATAAACAAAACAATCGGGTGTCTCAAAATCGGGACTCCCCAAAAAAATTCGGTGGTTTCCCTTGTTGCTTTCCTCTGAAGCCACCCGAACACCGTGGGTATTCTAACGAGCAGAAGCCAACACTCTCGTTGCTGCTTTGTCTCTCGCTCGAGGCTCAGCGCCCGGCGGCCACGGCGCTGTCCAGGTCCAGGGTAACTGGCGGTGGTTTTGTTTTTTTTTCCCCCCCTGAGGGCTGCCGAAAATTGGCGGTTGAGATGGGTGGTGTGGTGGTGAAATGGAGGGGCTCCCGATTTTTTCCCGAGGGTTCCAGCCACACGTCCATCAGCTCCCTCGTTGTAACGGGTGGTTTGGAGCCGGAGCCGACCCCATTTACCCAACCTACAAAAGCCAGGGACCCGTTCAAATCTCCAGTTCCCACCAATCCAAACCACCAAGTAAGGGCTACCTGCGTCCAGTTGCTCACTTCCGCTGTGGATGGGAGAAAAGGCGAGAGACGTTTTGTCCACCGTGGATTGGTCCAAGAGTCCAACTCCACTAAAGTCCAGGAACTCGGGGAGTGAGCAGTGAGAACCTACCAAACAAAAGGGGGAAACAGGCTGAGGTCTGGTTGAACATACTCCCAGAGGGGAATAAATGCAACCCCAGAGAAAGCCGAAGGTACCCAAACCAAAATGTGACCTTGGGAAAATGGCAACCTTGCCGAACCCTGAGTTGAAAACGGTGGTTCCAAGAGAAGCATCAACCAGGACGAAAGATACACCAAAACGCACCAGGGACGGTCCGCGTGGCACAAGTTTGGGTTCCTCAGTTGGATGTTCGTAGGTTATAAGCATGGTTACGAGGGGACGGAACATCCCACCGCACGGAAAGGCGAACGAAAACAACACGGCAGGCAAAATGAGTCTCCAGGATCCAAAAGCCGGCCTTCCAATCTGCAAGCGACCAACCAACTGTTTGTTGCTCTTCACAAATGAGAGCCCGAAAACACAACATGCCAAGATCAGACGATCATCAAAAAAGGGCTCGGTGCCTTCGATTCGAGTAACGAGTTCGCCAGACGAACATGGAACCCCAAGAAACCACCAGAGTTAGAGGAAAGCAACTATAATATTTGCAAAGATGAATAAGATAGACACATTAACAAGAAAACAACATGAATCTGGTGTAACTTCTAAATGTATTTCTGTCGATCGCATTTCCTGAGTGGATTGGCCAAAGAGGTACCAAAACTTATCCTTTCCAGAAATAAAAGGCGACCCTGAAAAGGCGACCCTTTGCGCAACCATGACCAACCTTGGAAAGCCCAAAAGGCTTAACCTGTGGCCATTCGCTATGGGCGCGTGAGGAAACCATCGGCCCCGCCTTCCCGCGGCTTGGGAAACGGAAGCGCAGAGTTTGCGCCCTCGAGTCGAACTGCGCGTTCCGGCTCGGCGGGGGTTTGAGCCAAAGCAAAGCTCCCTTTGGTTCTCCCCAAGGGGAAAACCCCACAGTGGAAAACCCCTTATATACAAGGGGAAAACCAATTGTTTCCTGAAATTGAGGTTTCGCGAAGTGGTTCTTCCAACGAAGTTGGCTCCGGTGTTCCCTCGCCTCTGGGCATGAATATACGTTGGTTGGATGTGGCTCCAAGCACGGATAGGGCATAGAATTGGCTTTTTGGGTGCCCTTGAACCAAATGACCTGATCATTCCAACCGCCCGTGATCACCTCTTCGCCCCTTGACCATGGTCCGGGAAACAAAACGCAGGTCTTAAGGTCGGCTTCGGTTTGAGTTGACCACTATGAAACAAGGAACCTGAAAAGCCGTATGGCCATATTTTCTGGACGGAACCCGTATTCGGATCGCTTTTCCCGCATGGTTTTGTCTGGCGGCCGTATTTGGCGGTACGTCCACATTTTTCCGGGCCGTATTTCGCCGTGTGCAACCCGTATTTGTTCAACAACATGTTGACAAAAAAACGTAAATGAGCGTATGGCAGTTTTCTGTTGCCCAAGCCGTATGGACAGAACACACACTTCACACATGGGTTTCCATGTAGGTTATTTGTTTCTGGGCAAAAGGTCGATCAAGTTCTGCAGTCATGCAAACAATCCAACTTGATTGCAAGAGGTCTCTCCGCGCCAAGGACCATCCATGAACATCGGCCAAATGGGCCTGTTTTCTTAACGTGGCCCCTTACTTGCTGGCTTTGAAGGAAAACCAGATGCGTCATGGTGAAGAAAAGACTCCTTATATGGCCTGAATAGGAATCATTATCATGATTGTTGAGGATCCTTACTACCAGGTGGATGATGCCATGTCTTGGTTGCTGTTGATCCCTCTGCAAAAAAAATATAACTTCTTGTTGGTTTAGTGGAAAAACAACAAAACTAATGAGTTCAACCAAAAAGTTAGTCTAAAGATCCAACCCAATAGCAGTCAAGATGTTACCCCCAGAACCGGTCTTGAGCTTCCAGGCGTGGCGCCGCTGCAGAGCGCACACTGCGTACCTCACCCAGATGGACCGGTCCACATGCTGTGGGTGGGTCGAAATCTGCTCGCGCCAGTTTGAAACCAGGGCTGAAACCATCACCTAGGTCCTCCAGATTTGAGAGGTTAGAATAAGGGTACCAACTTTTTCCTCTAGCCTATTTTTGTGGGGGAACCCTCCCAACCAAACAAGGGGTGAGAAAGGGCACTACTGGGGGACCTAGCATTGTTTGTTGGCATGTACAGGGGAATTATCGGAGACCAGGGTTTCTGAACGGTGGTGCGGAATGGATTTCGTCCATCCACAGTAGGCCCCGAAGGAAATTAACATGGAAGGAACCCGAAACAAAACGGCCACATTCCAATGCTGGGCTTTTGGGATACGTGTTCAAATGGGGAGTATGGACACATTGACAAACCAAAAGTCAAAGACCCTATGGTTCTGCCCAAGAGGTCGGACATCTTAAAGGCTGACCTTTCAAGGCCACCCGAAAAACACAAAAAAAAATGTCCAGGTTTGAAATGTCCGTCAACTCGCTTCAAGGTTGTAGAAACTGTCTTTCCACTCGTACACCACTGGCAAGCCTTCCAAGACGGAAGCCCTGGAGATTCCTTCAGCCTTGCCCAAGGACAAAGTTTGACTGATAAAGCCAGAGGAAACCAATGAGTCCAAAGCTTTGCAGGATCAGTCACACCAAGGTCCAATGAACTTCCGGTCGGCACTTGAGAGCACCTTCAGGACCCAGAACTGATGCTCAAAACAAGTTGATCATTCAAATAGGTCAAAGGTCGGGGCTGGGCGAAGATCATGAACTTGGTGCTGAGGCAGCTGACAGGAACACTGGTTGTCGGGGCTCGATTTTCATCTGCAGGAGAGTGTTTTGGGATTCCTTCATTCAAAGACCAACATGGGGTGCCCCCCACACCCTTCTGGGTCTGTCTTTTAGGATTTGGGTCCCCCAAGTATGATTTCGGGTTTCCCTGTGGCTTCCCTGTAAAAACCCAACGCCAAACACGGGCGCCCCGCATGTTCAACACACCAGCCGCCCAGCTAAAAGGAACTAAAACCGCTCCAATTGCTTAAGCCTACTGAGTAAAATACAAACAGATTTCCCGTCCCCTAAAAACCAGTCCCCTGAAAACCATTCCCCTGAAAACCAGAGAAACACATATGAGCAAAATGCAAAAATATGTCTAGTAATATATAGATTCCCCTTTTTCACCCAGAGGACAATGACACATGGGTGTGGCTCAAACTTCAAGAGCTAGGGCCTTAGTCGCAGGTTGTCGTTGGTTCCATTTGATTTTTGGTGCCATGGTCGCACCTTCTTTTGAGCCACAACACAGGGCTGTGGCTCAAAAACCCGGTACCAAAATGGAACCTTGGTAAGTGGACACATGGACCAAAACCCGCGTAACACCATCCAGTTTAATTTTGAGCCACAGCTGCACATGGCCATGGTTTTTGACTAAGGAACCCTGGAAAGTGGGTAGTGGACATGAATCAGCAAATGATGTCCACCAGAGGGTCCCTAATTCAAATTCATGGCCATGTGGCTGGTCGAAAATCGGGAAACCCCCATAACGCCTTGCCCTGGTAAATGGAAACATGGACTAAATTCCTGCAGTCTGGTCGAAAAAATCGGGAAGCCCCAAAATGGCTTACCCAAGGCCATGTCCCCAAGCCAGCCGGGCCAAAGCCACCAACCAGGCGCTCCCTTCGGCGTCCCGGCGCGGTACGCAGCAGTGCGGAGAAGTCCACCGCGCCGGGCCTCGTGGACCGAAGCGGTGGGGTCGAGGGGAGAGCCGTCCATTTCTTCCATTTTGGTTCAGGCCCAAGGGAAAATAAATAAATGTATCCAGTAGTGAAGGATTTTTATTTGAACCCAACAAGGATTTTTGTTTTTGTACTTTTTGAGCAAATGGAGGATTTTCCATTTGGCCGTGGGTCAACACCGCTTTGGGATCCCAAAGCTACCAGTTGGACAGTTTATAAGGGTCATTCCGAGTCATTCCCCTTCCATTTCCATGCTGCCTGGTAGAGAATGAGAAATGTAATGAACCCAGCGAATTCCCTTCAGACCTGGGGAGAACGGCAAAAGAACGATGGTTGAAAAGAAGGGGAGTGGCTCGTCGTTTTGAGGTTCTCCCCAACAGCTGGAAGCTATGTCGATAGGCCCAGATAGGCTCCCGGGGCAGCTCTGAAGTAAGTTTGCCGCCGAAGCTGTCGGGGATATCCCATGGGCTTATGTTTCCCAAGAAATGCGTTCCCTATGGTCTCCCTTGAAACCAACCATAATCTTCCATTTGCTTGAGCCCCCGGAAAAACATAAACATATTTCCAGTAGTGATCGATTCATTTTACAACCAAAAGGGGAACATCTTACACGAATGGAAGTGATTGCGCCTGTTTTTTTGGAGTTGGTGCTCCCTTTTAGGGAAGGTGTTGATGCGTTTCCCAAGAAGAAAACCGTGCTGCTCCAGCTTGTGGGTTCCTATTCCTGGACAGACCTAGGTTCCAGGGTTCCAAACTGGGGGCTTCCGAAGAGCCCCCGAAAACATGGTGGCTTTCCTCTTGGCTATCACCCTGCCGGGGGGGAGGGGGGGGGGCAAACAGCCAAGGCAACGTTTCAGGGCCTCCTTCTTGCAGATGTGCAAGGAACTCGCTAGGAGGGCTGGCTGGGGACCAGTCGGGATGGTCGTGAATGGCTCGTCGGAATCCCTGGTGCGATGTTTTGCCACAAACGCGGTTGCGGGCGATCTCCAAATCTTTCTCCAGCATTGTCTCGTTGACAGCATCGCACAACTGGTTGGCGGGCGCGCGCCTTTTCCTGTTCAGCTCCTTTGCAGTTCACCCCGCTGAGCCTCGCCTGCTGCAGCTACCAGGTCGTTTTCTGAGGACGAAGGCAAGGAGGGGAGATAATGCTTTTGCGAATGGGATTGTGGCGGTCGACTTGCTGCATGGGCAACCTATGGGCGTCCCGAGGAAATCATTGAAGGAACAGAGGCCCCCTCTCACACCATCCTTTGGGGCACCCACAAAAACCAACCCTTCTTTTTTGGTTGACTTTGAAGTGCAATATGTATATCTTGGCATATCTCAGTCACATCCAACACGTGCTTCTCACCGAGAAAAGCTTCTAAAACGCCCTCCTCGCAAATTGACAAGTGCAGCAGCAAAAGGAATTACCTGCACGATGGTTCGCCCTTGGCCCATTGGCCACTCGTGTGGGTGCGTCTCGAAACACAGCATGCAACAGCACCCGTTTTGGTGGTCTTGTCTAAAGGCTCAATGACTCAACCGCATAATTACCTGTAAGGTAGGTGCTCATATGATGTACACTAGTGATGTTTAGAAATTGGTATATATATATATATTATATATACAGATATACCTGGACCCTCAAAAAGGAACATTTTTTTGCTCATTACGTTATTTTTGCTCATTTTGCCAATTGAGCGGAATTTCCGAAATCTACGCGGAAACTGCAAATTTCATGTTCCGCACCCATTTTGTGGCAAATCCTGCAAATTTGGCCACCAGAAATGCGCGGAAATCGGCGGAAAATGCGCGGAAATCGGCGGAAAATGCGCGGAAATCGGCGGAAAGCCCAAAACCAACTTGTTTTGAACATGGCTGGTCGAACCGAAATGTGTGTTGTTTGGGTAAATGAGCGTGTTTTCCAACAATGCGCGTTTTTTTTTGCTTTTTAAGGAAAATGTTGGGAAATTGTTCTCAAAGAAGATCTAGGTATATGTAGCAGCTATAAATATGCCGGATCGGATCTTTTGCTCAGGGGAGCTACCGAGAGCCAACCAGTTGGAAAGGCCATCGGCTCGTGGCATGATTCCTGCGCCCGCAATCCACACCACAAACTAAGAGCTACGTGCTTGAAACCTTGGGTCGAGTCGGTTAGCATTTGCAAAGCGGCACATTACGTTTCCTTCAAGGGGTGGACCCCGTCCGCACCCCGGACGACGACATGCCTGAACTCAGCCCAGTGGCCATGGGAAAAATGGGAACGGTTCTTGGATTGATTTCAATTGAACCCCCAATGCTCTCAAGAAACCATTCCCAAAGTTAAGGGATAAAAAAAGAGTGCGACTGGGTGACTGGGTCGTATAAGCCTTGGCCCCCCGCGCAGCCAGCAACGTCTCTGCAAGGCCCCCAACGTCGTCGCGCTGGCATGTGGCGAGGCAGGTGGCGAACATCTCCGACGCCCCACCCCTGAAAACACAGAATCGAAAAACATATGCCTGGCCCACTGACACAATAATCCAGTAGCGAAATCTACTCCGTTTCAAACCAACAGGGGACAACTAACCAAAAAACACATTTCCGCAAGTGAAAGCAATGGAGAGCCCACCTCACGGATGGCTTCTGACCGGGACCCCTCTCTGCGAAACAATTCTGGGGGATGGCTTCAGAGCAAGACACAAACGTCAGGGTTCCGGGTTCCGAGTCCGCGGACTGAGCTCTGAAAACATGGCCCTACAACGCTGAATGTTAAACTTGCTGGTCCGATGGGCAGGGAATGAGAAATGGAATGACCCCTGAGATAAACCATCCTCTGTGGTTTCCTTTCAGGGAATCCCAAAAGGTCATTCCCAACACCCGGAAAATCAGTCCCTGAGCACTAGAAAGTAAAAGGTCAAACCAAAGGAAAACCAGAAAAGGGCAATGCCTCACGCCATACTTGCCCAATCCCCTTGAACGCGGGGGCATTGAGGGGGGGGAAAGGAAGGGGAGCGTCGACCTGTGCCGGGCCCCCCCAATATTTCGTGCTTTGCGGATTGCAGCCCACTTAAAGCCAACGACACAACTCACGTTTGCCAACAAAACACACATGCTGTGAATAGTAATAATTCAACTGGGTGTGCTCTTATGCATACTTTTGGGTCCCAGATCGAACGCGGAAACCCGGCGAGTGATTCCAAAAGTCGGACACAGTTTTGAAGAAGGTGGGTTGGTTTCCCTTCTCTGCTTCTTTTGACACCAATCCCAAACAGGGCTACAGCCCGAACAAGAAATGGCATGATTGCCGTACAATGACCCTCCCGCCCATCATGCCGCTGCCTTGCAAAGAATATCGGTCTTCCAGCCCCCCATTCGTCCAGTTGTATGGCAACGCGGCTGGGCGGGCGGCGGGGGGGGGGGGTTCCTGTTTGGATGATCCCTGCCTGTTCAAGCCCCGCCCATGCTTTGCCTCTTGACACTTCTGGAAAAATGAAGGGTCCGGCTCGAAGAGGGCTTCAGCGGCCGACTAGCATAGGGCTTGTGTTTTTGAGGGTAACCACTTTAAATGGAAACCAACATAGGTTTACCACAACTTGTCGGGCCGCTTTTGTGACGCGCAACCCGATTCAGAAACCGGACATAGAGAATCCCCAAGGAACCCTCACCATAGGGCATTGGCTGGTTCCTTTGGGCCCCTGCCCAAAAGTGCATGAGTGCATGTATTGTTGCTCGCCAAAGTCGGAGGACATGTTCCGAAAACGTTCAAGGTTCAACATCCAACCTAAAGATTGCCGGGCAAGATGAAATGGAGATCTGTCACTTCCTGCCAACCAGTTTCATCATGTTTTGGGATCCGTTTCTCCGGCGCTTTGAGAAGCGTCTCGACCAGCGTTTCGACTTCGAATCGAAGCGCGGGTCGAGACCTGCAGGAGATCGCCTCGACAGTGCAGCAGCAGAGCGATCACCAGGTGGTCTGCGAACTGCGCCGCAAGCGCAATGCGTCGGCGGGGGCTTTGGGGGGGGGGGCTTTGGGTGGGAGGACAGTCAAAGCCAATTCCAGTGGCACCACTATGGGTGGCTCGTCATCTGGAGTTGGTACCCTTTTTGCCTGTGGTTTTAAAGGACAAACGAAAGAAAAACCACATTCATTCTAGGTCCTCCAGTAGAGAGGTTAGAATAAGGTACCCTTTTTCTGTAGTCTATTTTAGTAGGGGAACCCTCCCCCAAAAAAGGGTAAAGGGCACTACTGAGGGACCCAGCATTTTAGTTTTTGTTTTGGCGGGGGCCCTAAACAAAAACACACCACGATGGACTTATAGTAGGTAACTATGGTTCCTTCCCTCCAGGTTCTACATGAGGATTTCCCCAGCAATTCTTCTATAGTATAACTGGAAGCACGGGGACAGATTTCTTGGAAGGGGTTCTGAGAAGAGGTTCTTGGAAAGTCTGAGAAGGGCTTCTTAGTTGGGGGCTACGTCCTAGGTGTTCCCTCTATGCTTTCCAAGAGTTGAAGGTCATTGACCATTGCTGTGATTATAACGCAATGACCAATATGCGGCAATTCTCCATTCCTGGACCTTTGTTTTCCTGAACAAACATTATTGTTTCCGCCTTTGAAGGAAGCTTTGCAGGGGTAAACGAACTTACTGCAGCCCGCACGTTTGTCAAATCATGCAACGGCGGTCCAGCACTTGCCAACGTTCCAGTGAACACCGTTGGATGCCTTGATCATCAAAACTACGACTTTGTGTGATTTGCGGCAGTTTGCGGGTTTTTGAAGGAGATTTGCGGGCATTTGCGGGCGCTTTGCGGTCAAAATGTGTACGTGTTTTCTGCACCACACAACTTTGTGAGGTGTATTTACGCTTATGGCCAATGCGCGACTGGAAACGACGCAAATCGTATGTGTGTTTGTCCACATTGTAGCTAAAACACTGAAATTCGGCAAATCGTAGGGGTCTCCTAAAACACCCATCAATTTCCCGAGTTTGAAGGTCCAGGTTGCTGTTATTGACCATTGAAAGTTAACTGGGTATGCGTCAAAATCAAACCACCAGGGGACCGCAGGTCTTAGTCTACTTTTGCATTTACCAGGGCAAGCTTGTTGACCCACAGCCAACTATTGTCCATTGCTGTATTTTTGCAGCGCACCACTTGACTCTTGGTTCCACACGCCATAGGTCCGTAGAATGCCGGGTTTCGGCAGGGCTTACCTGGAGTTCGAGGGTGGAACCTGGACAAGGTTGCCTAAGGTGCACTTTCACAACCGGGCGCTACCTCCAGGCGTTTCCAAAAGGAGGTTGGCGGATTTGTGGGGTTCGCATTGTGTGACCTTTCACAAGCATAAATTTGGCGACCCCAATTGGGTTCCAAGAAATCGGTTCCTTTCGGATGCTACACACATTGTCCTGGTGCAAGCTGGAATCCCTGTTTCGGAACCTGAAATGCCTCCCCCGATTAAGGCAGCAGCCGAAAATATATTTAAAATAGGACCCGCAGAACGGGTGGTTTCCCTTTAATTTCCCAGCCTTATATACCCAAAAAGGCCCTTGGCTTTTCTTTTAGTGAGAAAACCCTCTGAACAGGGGATGGATGTCCACCCCCCATTTATGTCCCACATGGGATTTATGTATTTAGAGACCCTTTCAAGGGTTGGTTTTACAGGCACGCCAAAAGAACCACCCACCAATTTGAGGGTGGCTCCCCAAAACTACGACAGACCCAAATGTACCAACTCTCACTTGCCCAAAGGACCTGGAAATAATCGGTCAGCCTTTAGGGTCAGGACTAAAAAAACAAAAGAAACCCACAAGGTCAAAAGGTCGATTCGCTTTGGACAACTCAGAACTGACAAACAAAAAGACCCACCTGGGCACCTGGGCTGTCCACAAATCTCCTGCTAAAAGTCAAACTTTCAGGTTAAAAATTGGAAGCGACCAACAACAAACAACTACTGCGGATGGACAGAATCCTGCCCCTTGTTTGTCGGTATTTACAGGGGGAATCAACAGAAACCAGACCCTCCGAACGGTGGTGCGGAATGGATGTCGCAACTACCCGCAAGTTGAACTGGACGACCCGTTGAGCCAAGCCAAACGGCACGTCTCTGCAGTCGCCTCGAAGCGCCGAGGGTCTGCCAGCAAGGAGTCCCAAAGTCGGGCCTCGAACAGAGCCAACCGCGGCCCGGGAAGGACGCTTGAGGCGTTGAGCGAAAGGATTGCAACCGCTGGTACCTCCGGGCGCTGAACTTTTGGGGCTACCCTTTTGTGTGGTTTTAAAGGGAAACCACATTGACACCGAAGCCATTTTGGAGGTCCCTATTCCCAATCTTAAGACACATCCATATGATATTCTAGGTTCTCCAGAATTGAGAGGTTAGAATAAGTTGGTACCAACTTTTTTCCGTCGTCTATTTTAGTTGGGGAACCCTCCCAACCAAAAAAGGGGTGAGAAAGGGCAGTGGGGGACCTAGTGACTCCCATTTGCCTTTTTGCACCCTGGACAAGAACATTATGTGTCCAGTAGTGAAATGAATTCCCAAAGAAACAAGCAGGGTCGCATCACTTTCAGTTGAGTCACAATCAAAACCCGGAAGGCACATTGTCTACCCAGAATCATGCAAAGAATTGAAAAGGCAGCACCCAATTGTGGCAAGGGGATTGTCCTGTTCTACTCTCCAATTACATGGGTTTCTATTGTGACTCAGTTGGCAACCATGGCTTAAAGCAGCCCTGGTGATTGACCGAGCGCACGCATATCTTGCCCTCACTCGAAAGGCGAGGTTACCTGGCACTGTAAAAGCCAGACGCCGCAGGACTGTTGCCCACGGCGTGCAGCAAATCTTTGCCCCATGCACTTTGCAAGAGCAAATCTGCCACTCACTTACCCAGAGGGGCAAGGTCAAGATCAAAACTCCAGAACGTCAAGCCTTCCATCATTCAGGTTGCTATTTGTGTATTTATCTCTCGTCCACAAATTGTTTTTTTTGTTGGTTTAAAGGGAAACCGAAGCCATTTTGGAGGTCCCCAATCCCAATCTTAAAACACATCCATATTGTTAGCACTGAGTTCGCAGGTACTGGGACACACCTCGCCAGACCTTGTGTCCCCAACCTTTGGGGAGCAAGCATGCCATTGCTTCCAAGAAAGTGGTGTCAAACTCAAGAACCATGTAAGCTACCAGGTGCTTTGACCATGACGTAGAACACGAGCACCGCAAGCGTGCAGTGTACCATGCGGTGGTTGATTTCAAAAATGCTCGAAACAAACCCCTCACTTTGCGCAGCTTTGCGCAAGAGCACCGGACTTCGTGTTAGTACTTCAGGCGAAGCACGTACAGCCACTTGCCGCTCTTGACCTGGCCATGGGTCAAAATCCCGTACCCTCAGTGGAACATCCCAATCCCCACTGAAATAGACTCAAATGGGTGGTGCACCTACCCCAAAATGGTACCATTGGTTTTGACCCACAGCCACTTTCACCTTTTGCACCCCATAACCAAAACCGGTGTAAACAGGTAGTTAGCAGCGGCCCAAGCATCAAACAATCTAAAGGTGAACAACTCTCCTGGAAATTGTGTATGCAAGGGCTTTTGCACGTGGCGAGATTTCACTCATAGGAGTCTTTGTGGGAAGCTAGATGGCACTGGAAGATGATTAAACAACCAGGTCAACCAGGCAATCTATTTTCTCTCACAGCCAAAAAGGACACCTATGGCATTATGGTACACGAAACCAATTGTTTAGAGACAAATTTCCAAAGTTCCAATGCAAACGGTTCGAGCCCAATGATTCCAGCCAAGCATTCTGAGGGGAACCACAACTAGCTCAGACTTCAGCTCGAACAAAGGACATGCACAACGTTGGTCGTGAAGACACACAAGAAACAAAGACAAACCACCAAGCAGGCCAACAGACAAGCAGGCAGACAGACGGACAGAGACAAAGAAACAGAGAAAGCAATACTATCAATAACTGGTAGACAAACAAAGAAACAAACACCCAAACAAAACAACAAAACTGACAATAAGCAAGTAAACAACCAAAGAAAAACAATAGACAAACAGAAGACAATAAATAACAACGGGAAAAAACAACTACAACCCTTTGCCAAGCACTGCATGAGAGCGGCGTCCGCACCGATGATGGTGGCACCCAAGCCATAGCCGTCGAGGCTGTAGCCCGTGTTGCAGCCCAGCGACGACAGCTGCGGTACCCAGTGCCACTCACGTCTGCAGGTGTCGAGCACGCAATTCACAGCCTTGGCTCGGTTGCTTTCTGCTGCCTCTGCTAAAAGTTTAACGGACCCCTCAAACGAAGCAACACACACAAAAAAAAAAAAAAAAACAAGCACCACATCTTCCTAGGTCCTCCAGATTTGAGAGCTTAGAATAAGGGTACCAACTTTTTTTCGGTAGTCTGTTTTAGTAGGGGAACCCTCCCAACCAAAAAGGGGGTAAAAGGGCACTACTGGAGGACCTGGTTGTCTTGGCTCGGTTGTTTTCTGCTTCCTTGCTAAAAGTCTTTTTTTCCCCAACAGCTGAAAGCTTTGGGGTCTCAGCCCAGAGCCTATCTGGGGTGGTCCGGGGCGGCGCTGAGGTAAGGGTTCCACCAGGGTTCCACCAGAGTTCCACCAGGTTTTGGAAGGGCTGTGGGGTGGTCGGGGATGGTTTGAGGTAAGGTTCCACAAGGGTTCCACCAGGGTTCCACCCAGGTTCCACTAATCAGGGTTCTGCGAGGTAAGGTTCCATGAGAGTTGTATGAGGGTTCCACCAGCAAGGGCTGTGGGGTGGTGCGGGGTGGTTTGAGGTAAGGTTCTATCAGGGTTTCACCAGGGTTCCACCAGAACCTGCGGGGTGGTCCGGGGTGGTTTGAGGTAAGGTTGCATGAGGTTTTACCAGGGTTCCACCAAGGTTCCACCAGGGTTCCACGAGGTTCTGCGAGGGCTGCGGGATGGTCCGGGGTGGGTTCGACAGAGTTCCACAAGGATTCGACAAGGGTCCACAAGGGTTGCACAAATGTTCTGCAAGGTCTCGTGGTGCCTTGGAGGGAAGTAATGTGTCGTGTGACTGCCGTCTGAAAAGCCATCGGGGCAGTAAATTGAGAGCTCAGAACAACAATTTGCTCATGGGCGGAACACTAAGCAAAACCGAAATCAATGGTTTTCAGCACACGTTCCACGAGGCTGCGAGGGCTATGGGGTAAGGTTCCCAAAACGCTCCACGAGGTTTCCACCAGGTTCTGCAACAGCTACGGGGTAGCCCTGAGGAAAGGTTCCAACAAAGTTTCACGCGGGGTTCCACGAGGACGGTTTGCGAGGTTCACCGGGCCCAGGTCGGGGCCCGATTGCACTGTCGGGGCCCGATTGCACAGTCGGGGCCCGATCGGGCCCCGATTGCCTGACTCAGTCGGGCCCGTCAACTGTGCCATTTTGACATCGCCTCGCTTTGCTACAGTTGAAGGCTGCATCCTAAGGAAAACCCTTGCACCACGGGACCATCGGGCCCTGGCCCCGATTGCACCGTCGGGCCCCAATGCGATTGCGCTGTCATTCTTAGCTTTGCTTTATAAGTTACAAGGCGGCATCCTGAGCAAAACCGGCGGTGAGGTGGGTCCCAGGGCGGGTTCCGCCAGGATTCTGGGCGGGTGTGGTGCTGTTGGGGATATCGCCTGAGCTTATTGTGGTTCAATGGAAAACCCATTAGTTGGCAAAAAGTTACAGTCCTAACATCCAAGCAACGTGCACCAAAGTTGGGCTTGTCTTACACGGCTTTCAACAAACAACAGAAAAAAGGGGTACCATCAACACAAAGGCGAGCCACCCACATGGTCTTGCCATGGTGGAAATGAGGATCAATCAACCCCACCCCCAACAGAGTCGTTTCTTGGCTAAACAATAAACTCAGAAACACGGGACAAAGAACGAAACACAATTGACAGGGTTAAAACAACAAACAGAACAAAACGACAGGAAACCAGAAACAGGAAGCAAGAAACATGTCTTCTTTTGAGGGTACCCTGCTTGGTGGCTTTAAAGTTCCCCAACAGCTGCAAGCTTTGGGGTCAAAACGCCCAGATAGGCTCCGGGGTGGTCCGGGGCGGCCCTGAGGTGAGGTTCCACGAGGGTTCCACGAGGGTTCCACGAGGGTTCCACGAGGTTCTGCGAGGTGGTGCGAGATGGTGTGAGCACTAAAAAGGGGATGTCACCTGAGCTTACTTTTTGGGAGGAGGGGGTAAAATCAAAAAAGAGTGGCAAGTCCGCAAAAGCATCAGAGAAAACGGTGTGCCATTGGAGACCTGGGCAGCAGTACCCAAAGAGCCTGCGACGGGCTACGGCGAGGCACTTGGGTGCGGTACTGACCCGGTACTTGTTGGTGGGTTCTACTGCCATGAGTATAAGAAAACATGGGCCTTGCTATTCCTATGGTTGTTAACATAGGTGGCCTTTTGGAAAAATAGATGGCCCTGGTAAATGGAATAAACCCCATCTAAACCAGGGCCCTCTATTTTTTAAGCAAACCAACCAAAAAGGACACCTATGGTTGTCAAGCTAATGGCGACTAGTCGTTGATTAATTCGGGGCCATTGGGGTTCATTTTGGGGACCAGTTCCAGGAGGTGCCCTCTTTGCAAGGCCCTGACAACCAAAGGAACTAGAAGTGATCTTCCAAGGACCCTGAATATTCCAATTGAAACCAATAGCAAAATCAAAAAGGACACTTCTTTTCAGGGTCCTTGGAAGACCAAGGTAATAACCTTTGTGAAACCAGGTAGTAAAACCACCGAAATGTCCAGTAGAGGTTGGTGGCGCGTTTCGAATAAGGGGTCTAGCAAAAAAAAACTATCCATCCGCTTTGGTTCATACAGGGCTCACACATGCTGAAACCAAACCAACAAATCTGCATTTTTCGGCGCAAACAGAGCAAACTCACTGGCTCAAAAGGCTGAGTTTATTCACTTCCTGAGTGAGTGGACTGGCCAAACCAGTCCCAACTGTTTGATTGCCACTACCTAAAACTTCCTTAGTCCATGAACTCAGGGAATGAATCAACGAAGGCAACAAACGAAAACACTTGGGACACCCGCTGACTCGGAAATCTGAAGACACCAAAAGGCTCTCACTGTAAGCTTTTGGCTCAGTTGCGCCGGATGGGACCCAGAAATA